CCTCCTCAATGTTCTTGCTTTCTCAAGAACCAACTTATAAAAAGGTACCACAATTTTTTGATTATAATACATTTTAGTTGAAAACAACATATTTCTCCAAATTATCAAACTTTTGTTTCATTTTGTTTTTGGTGATTCCCAGTAATTTTAATTACCCCTAACATGAACATAGAGAATTTAGCAAGTTGTAGTATCAAAATATTTTAGTATACAATTTTCAAAAAAATTTCCAGAGTAAAATACACACTTTAAACTTTGCATATTTGAGTGACTCCACAGAGAAGACCTTAAATTACCTTCTTTTTCAGTATGTTGGTGGTTGGGGCCCAATGATAGTGATCCCCACGCACAGGTGTCCTGGTGGATCCTGAGGACTTACCTGCTGCAGACTGAGAATGTATCAGGGGCAGGTGGGAGCTGAGGCCTCCTTTAGCATGTGTGTGTCCCCTTAGCACCTGTGCCCAGACAGGAGGAGTGCACCACCTGCAGGTCTGGGTAACCCCAACCCCAGGTCCAACTCCTTCTACCTCAGCCCAGCTCCCCATGTGAGTTTCACCAAGCGAGCTAGTTCTCCTCTGAGTCCAGGCTAAGATATGAAGGGAGAGCCTGGTTTCCCCTCATTTCCTCCTCCTGGCCTTTTCAGATTGTGACTTTTCAGTTCAGTCTGCCAAACCACCTGGGATCAGGAGACAGGGGACATCTCTCCTTGCCTTTCGCCAGAAAGCTTTGGGGGCTGTGTGCCAAGGAAGGTCTATCTGCCATCTCTGCATTCTTCATCTCCTCTTCTGCACTATGTCTATATCTTCTCCAAATCGAAATAGCCCTGCAGAGTCTGGGGTCTTTGTGTCCATCCTACCTCTGTGTGATTGTCATAATAGAATGGTGATGCAGTGACAGAAGAATCCAAGTAGAATGTGTAAAGGTTTGGTGTAATGGCAAAGGGCTCTGAAACTCACAGAGACAGAGCATGCTCCTAAGTGGACATGTCATTTCCCGGGTTCCTAGTAGCTGCAGGGGATGCAAAGTAAATTGCGATGATTCTGTCCTCAAGGAATGAAGGAAAATCTCCCTTGCCTATTTCAGACAGTTGCTTTTTCTTTCTATTTTTACCCTCCATAATCCTCCCCTACTTGTCTGTCTGGAGAATCTGGCTGTCTGCCTGCCTTCCCATTGATGCATGTAGCTAGTGAGAGAGAATTCTCGAGTGTTTACAGGGAGGCTGGAGGAAGCCCAGAGCATGTTCACAGATGCATCTCCCAGTAGGACCAGGCTATGAGGCCCACTCTTAAAGTTTCCTATCTCCTTTGGCAGCTAAGCAAACTGACACACAGAGGGGGGACACCTCTGAAGTCTCTTAGCTAGTAAGTGTCAGATCATGCATTCATTGTCATCTTCATCAACAGCAATGACCACTGCTGGCATTCAAGAGACTTACTGTGCCCCAGACATTATGCTAAATATTTTACATATCTTATTTTATTTAATCCTATGAATAGGTGGCAGTGTTAATCTTATTTTCAGATGATGAAACAGACACAGAGCATTTAAAACCCCTTAGCTAATGAATATTTGAGCACAGTTGGGCTCCCAAGTCCACTCTTCTCTATGCTCTGATTTTACATGCAAAGCTAGTAAGTACTAACAATTCTCCACTCAAGAAAAGTTTTGTAATAATAACTCATTACATTTCATAGCATATTACCAGTTCCAAGGTTGTGTTTGTTTGTTTTTTTCAGATTTTACTGAAAATCTCAGTTCCTGAGCTGCTAGTATAGATATCATTCTATCATCCCTCTAGAAAATAAATTCAGTTTAGTATGAGTCACCTTATGCATTAAATATTTTGATAAATCCACAATTTGAAACTAACACCTCTCTTCATATTTGATTATCCCAAGAGCTTCTAAGAGATAATCCTGTAATCCCATTAGACATGACAATGTGAAGCCAGAACACTCCTTGTACATGGAATTGTGACATATTTCCTGGCACTGCCTCCAGAATGTGCCACCGGAGACCCTGGCCTGGACTTCCTTCATTCACCCCAGAAGCAGCCTTTGACATCTTTTCATTAATGTGGGTGGGTTGTTTCAAAAGGAGCAAGAGAGGAGGGGGAAGAGAAGTCCAAACCTATTTTAGTCTCTACCCACAAACTGGCCTAGGGGTTTTCTGGGAAGGCCTTGAGATCATCGTGTCAGCTGGGGGAGGAGGTGTAGCAGAAGGGAGGATAAATTGAACCAAATGTTCTGTTTTTAAAACGTGTTTGACGTATGGCTTATTAAGTGTTCTACAAATTGAAGCAACAAATAATAAGATAACCTTTTTTATTTTTACATGGCAAATATATAGCTCTATTTTGAATATAGTTCTACAGTGGAGTTCTAATTCAATACTGGGACAGAATCCTCAGATGATAAATGATAAATGATAAATGGAACCCAAAATGCCCCTTCAAAATTGACCCTGCCTTTGATGTACTAGTTGACTCTTGTTCTGTACTTTAAATTTTGGGAATTATTTTTATATTTCTCCTATGCTTATAATACCACTCAGAGGCAGAATCATATATCATTGTGACTTAAACATTTCCATATATAAATGTATATATCATTATTATAAGTCTACAACCATTATTAATAAATATCTGTCATCTCTAAGTCACTGGGTTAGCTTATTACATAACTTATTTTCCATTATAGTTACCTAGATATATTTCTGAATATAATCAGTAATTTGACTAGAAATTAGAAATTATTTGTTCTGGAAGCTCAGATATTGGAAGGATATCCTGGCCTTTAATTAAATCTTGTACACCATTCCACTTCACACTTTCTACAATGGGCATGGCCCCTCAAAAAATGATAAAATATTATTTTTGTGTATTTAATTACTGAATATGGCTGAATGTGAATTCTAGTGTTCCTGTTTATTAGTTTTATGAAATGCGTACCCTTTCTGAGGCTCAATGACATCATCAGCAAGTAGAGGATAACAATACATTGCCAACAGACTTTTGAGAGGATATATGAAAAGCACTCATCTGACTGGCACTTAAACATTAAGTAAATTACTCTCTCCTTTTCCGTATGAGGACTGAATGCCCAAGTGATGAGCACTTGTGCTCCTCAGGCTCAGCAGCTGAGTGATAAGATAATCGACCTTAGATTTCTCGGTAATGACCTCATACATCTTTCCTAGATGATTTCAAAATACTGAATTTTTTGTTACTTTGTGTGAAGGTAAGATGTTATTAATCATGGTTTTCACCCACCCAGGTCCGAAGTTACATCAAGAAAGCTCGTGCTGAAGGGGCCCAGATTCTGTGCGGTGAGGGAGTGGACAAGTTGAGTCTCCCCCCGAGGAATCAGGGAGGCTATTTTATGCTTCCCACCGTGATAACTGACATTAAGGACGAGTCCTGCTGCATGAAGGAAGAGATATTTGGTCCTGTGACGTGTGTTGTCCCCTTTGATAGCGAAGAGGAAGTGATTAAAAGAGCCAATAGTGTCAAATATGGGCTGGCAGCGACCGTGTGGTCTAGCAACGTGGGGCGTGTCCACCGGGTGGCTAAGAAGTTGCAGTCAGGCTTGGTCTGGACCAATTGCTGGCTCATCAGGGAGCTGAATCTTCCTTTCGGGGGGATGAAGAGTTCTGGAGTAGGTAGAGAAGGAGCCAAGGATTCTTATGAATTCTTCACGGAAGTCAAAACCATCACCATTAAACACTGACCTTGCCAGTGGAGAAGTTGTGATGGTCAATGCCTGGCTGCAGACAATCAGTGGTGCAATTTGGTGAATGGAAATAGTGGCAGAAATTCCAGCCAGGGCTTGACTCAGCTGAAGGTTATCTCTAGCTTATCTTCAGTAGTTAGTATTTTTACCTGCGTGGTGAAGAGATGCTGTTTATTTTTAAAGGTGAAGAAAAACAATGTAATACTTCTGCTTGGGGAGACACAAAAAGGAAGCCAAAGAATTGTCCTCCTATGTTGTGTGTTCATAACATTTAAAAAAATCATTTTGATCCGATTCTTGGAAATTCACAGATAATCAGATTTTTTTTTTTCATTTGCAAGTGAGTAGTTAAA